CATTCCTAAAGGATCATTTCACAAAAAATAGAATTCTGGGTGGACCGTTCTTTTCTTTCAGCACTTGAAAAATGCTGTGCTAATTCGTTCTGACCATCATGGTTTCTGTTGAAAAATCTACTGTCATTCAAATTGTTTTCCCCTATATGCAACACGTTGTTTCCCTCACTGCTTTCAAGCTTTTTTTCTTTGACTTTAGTTTTCACAAGTGTGACTATTATGTTTCTTCGGTGTGGATTTCTTTGGTTTGGGGTTCACTCAGCTTCTTGAATATGTAGGTTTACGTCTCTTGCCAAATTTGGGGAGTTTAGGGCCATTATTTCTTTGAGTACTTTTTCAGTCCTGCCTTCTTTTTCCTCTCCTTCCATGACTGTGATGAAACCAAGGTTTTATCTTTTGTTATAGTCCCACAGGTCCCTGAGCCTTTGTCAATTTTTTTCTCAGTCTATCATCTCTCTGTTGTTCAGCTCAGGTGAGTTGTATTGTTCTGTAAGTTTACTGACGCTTTCCTCTGTCCTCTCCATTCAGCTGTTGAGACCATTCATTGAGTTTTTGTGTCAGTTGTTGCATTTTTTAGTTCTAAAACTTTCCTTTGGTTCTTCTTTATATCTTGTTTCTTTTTTTTATTATTATTTCAGGGTATTATGAGGATACACACATTTTGGTTGCACTTTATGTCTTTGCCTCACCCAAGCGAGGGTTAAAGGCATGCCCTTCCACCCTACAATGCTCCCCGTGTCCTTTAGTTGTGGGTTTACCCCCCCATCCCCCTAATCCCTGGAGAGTATTACTGCCATGTGATCACCCTAGTGTTCATCAGTTAGTACCAATTTGATGGCGAATACAAGTGGAGCCCATTCTTTTGAGCTTGTCTTTACTGAGACTTTCTGCTTCTCTGCTAAGACTTTCTAGTTTTTCATTTGTTTCAAGTATATTATTCATCATTGCTCACTGAGGCATTTTTGAGGAGAGCTGCTTTAAAATCTTTGTCAGATGATTCTAACATCTCTGTCATCTCAATGTTGACATCTACTGATTGTCATTTTTTTTCTTTCAAGTTTAGATATCCCTGATTCTTGGTATGACAAGTGATTTTCTATTGAAACCTGGACATTGGGGGTATTATGAGAGTCTGGATATTAGTTAAACTTTCTGCTTTAGCTGGCTTCCTCTGACACTGCTCTAATGGGGGCAGTGGGAGAAGGGACTGCCCCTGTTACTGCTGGGTAGAAGTCCAGGTTCCCCACTTGTCCTCTGTTGGCACCAGAGGTGGGTGGCACCTTATTACTGCTAGGTGGGAGAAGGAGTTCTGGCTCTCCACTAGACTTCTGCTGATGCCATCCTAGTCGGAAGGAATAGGCATGTCTCATTACTGTTCTCCACAAAGCCTCCAGTGACACCACAGGAAGGAGGGAAAGGGTAGCTTCATTACTGCTGGGCAGTGTTGGAAGTCTGGACTCTCCACCGACATCACCCCAGTGGGGAGGTGTCGGGACACCTTGTCACAGCCTGGCGAGATTAGAAATCTAGGCTCCCCATTCACCACCCCATTCCTTGGTGGGGTTGGGGTGGGGATGGGGCCACAGGTTTTTCTGCAGTGCTTGGCTGGCGTGGCACAGTTGCTGTCTAAAAGTTTTCTGTCTTGCTAAACTGCCCCTTCCCTGATCGTTTGGCTAGAGATCAGGCTTTTGTTAGGGCTTTTTCCATCTGTATCCAGTGCATTCCTAGGTTACCAGCTTCTTTAGTTCTAAGTCTGGGATATATTCAGGAAAAAGAAAACCCAGACAACTCACCAACATGTCAATCCTTGTGTCCCAAAGTCCCTAGGTACTCTGTCCTCTGCTATTCACCTTAGAAGTCTTCTCAAGTTTGTTTTAAATATAATTTTCAAAGTTTGTACACAATTCTACTTAGCAGGAGGAATAAGAAAAAGAATATCTATTTCATCTTCCCTGAAGCAAAAGTAAGCATAAGTTTTATGACATAATATTTTCTTGGGGACTATACATTATTTGCTTATGGGAGATCTTGTAACATGAATTTTCTCTTACTTAGGTCACGTCAAGCCATTTTCCTCCTGAGCTGATGACCAAAAACAACCAAATATGACAGAAGCAAGGATGGCCTGGCTCCTTCGCCTTCAGTTAACATCTGGCAGGTGGTCTCTCGACTCCAGCCTCATATAATTAGAATGTGAGTGATACTATCGAACTTCTCAGTAAAAACAAACATAAGACTTTATAATATTTCCATGTCTGCTGCCATGGTGTATCCATACTGTTTAGGTCAGTGATTCCGAATTGGATGAAAAGGGGTAGGGTGATTTTGCCTCTCACCCTAAGGGCTCATTTGGAAACATCTAGAGACATTTTTATTGTTATGACTTGGGAGGAGCTACTGGCATCTAGTGGGCAGGAGCCAGGGATGCTTCAAACATCCTATAATTCTCAGGATAGCCACCCACAATGAAGAATTAACTAGCCCAAAACTTCAATAGTGCCAAGGTTGACAAACCCTGGTTTCGATGTCTGACCTACATTGACAATTAAGTTTAATCTTCAGGTATTCAGTATACCTCCTGGCCCATGTAATTATGGAACTCTGAATGCTGGGTCTGGAATGGCCTTGCCCAAGCTCTAAATAGAGAGAATCCAGCCTCCCAAGACTGTCTTACCCTTTGGCTTTCCCCTCTAGGAATTTCTGTGTGGCTCCAAGATTTCTGAAGTGAAAAATCACGTTCCTTGCTTTCTCTGGAGAGAACATCGTTTACATAAACTCCAAATGTTTAAAACAAATATCTTTATTCTTGTCATCTTAAGAATTTTTAAAATCATAATTTAGACCCTACTTTACACTTGTGTCCTTATTGCTATCTCTCACCTACCCTCCACAGCCATTTCAACAAATTCCCCATTGTTCCCTTCTCACTCTAATAAAACTTCTGAAACCACTTTTACCCAATGTTGCCCCTGGGCTAGAGCCCTGGCTCCTGATTCTAACGCTCCATGATGTATGCCTCTCTCCTACATACAGCAATTCAGGTAACTGAAGCACCAAGAAAAGATACACAAGAGGAATTAACACTTCTGGAAGAAGAACAGAATTCACTGTTCTGGTGTCCACTATTCATTTGATACTCTCCTTTTATTTATCACTAATTCCATTTGAGTCCTTCAAACGTGCTCTTTCTTACAGGACCCTGCTCTGAAGTACAACTTCTCCAACTGTGCAGGACCTCTGAGCCAGTTTCTAATAGCAGCCCCTTTTCATGTCAAGTACCTTAACTATGTGATAGATATAGGCCCATCTTACAAGAAGAGGCTTTTCTTCTCTGCTAAGGTTTTTCTAGGGACATCCCTAATTTCTTTTTCTACATTAGATTTATAGAGTCTAATTAGAAACATTCACTCTGAAATGACCTGAGCAGTCACCCTGATCTTGATCAGTAACAGCGGTGAGATGTGGGTCTTACTCAGAATATTTGTTGTACTCTGCCCAAAAAACATTAGGTCAAAGGTGACACTGTGGACTCTTGTTCATACATGTTTTTGTTTCCTTTATGATAACATTCCTTAAATCACAGCCAAGAGTGTATTCTGGGGCTGAAAGTATTTTAAAGACATAATGCAGTAGCAGTATTCTGTTTACTAGTAAGAAATTTGGAGCAGCAGCCAAGAACAGTAATAGAATCTTCTTCCCTCTTACTGTCATTCTCAAAAAAGACTATGTCTCATTTTTTTTTTCTTTCTTTTTTTGAGTGTGGGGCTCAAGTTCCCTTGTTACTGTTTTTGCTTTGAATGTCCCTGCCAAAGCAAAGTCTATACAATAGACAAAATATTTTAAACTTAAATATGACCCTATGTAGCTTTGCTTCCTGTTGGTGACATATCATAGTCGATAAATGGACCATCCTGGGCACAATTCTAGTCAAGTCTCTGAGACAGACTGCCTGGGGTGGAATCCCAGCTCTGCCATGCATTAGTTGCAAAACACTGGACCAACCCTTTAGCTTCACTAAAGCTAGAAGGCCTCCTACATAAAATAGGACTTACATTGGTATCTATCTACCTGATTGGGGGGAGGAGGGAGTTGTGACAAAAATGCATACAACATGCATCCCATAGTGTTTGGCACACAAGAAACACTTAAGTCTCTATAACTCGGAAGGCCTAAAAAATAAATTTTTAAAAATATTTCAAGAGAACTGTTTTCAGTGAAAATATTCTAGAATTCTTATAAATTAAACTTAATAGGCTTAGCACAGTGGTTCATGCCTGCAATCTTAGTGCTCTGGGAAGCAGCGGGAGGATTGCTTGAGGCTAGGAGTTCGAGACCAGCCTGAGCAAAAGCGAGACCCCTGTCTCTACAGAAAAAAATGGAAAAATTAGCCAGGCATGGCAGCACATGCCTGTAGTCCCAGCTACCTGGGAGGCTGAGGCAGAAGGATTGCTTGAGCCCAGGAGTTTGAGGTTGCTGTGAGCTAGGCTGACACTACGGCACTCTAGCCCAGGCAAGAGAGTGGGACTCTGTCTCAAAATAAATAAATAATTAAATAAACAAACTTACTAGTTATATACTGATCTTAGGCTATAAATTCACTTTTACTGTAATTCACTGCTAATAATGCTAAACTGTAACCAAAAAAAGACTGAGTTTTTCACATAAAATGCCTGTTTTTATTTCAATACAAAGCCTTTGAAAGGGAAGGCTACTAGTGATGTATTACTCAGGTCTTCAGCTAATGTTCTTCGAACAAGTTTTTGGCACAACCTTTCAATTTTTTTCACTTTGACAAGAGGATACACTCCCTTGATAGAAAATTCAAAACTTCACGCTGAAAATTCAGACGAAACGCAAAAAAGTTGAATACCACCGCAGTGTTTTCGTAACAACATATCATAGACGCTTAAGCCTTATATATAATAAAATATCACACATGTAACGTATCCTAAAGTTGCATTTACCCAAGAGAAATATTACTCTCGTTCTGGTTCACCTACTTCCACTTTAATGTCGTAGTTCTGGCCGAGAACGCTCTGTATGAGCTCTGTGATGATCTGGTCGGAGGCCAGCTGGGCCTCGGACTGCAGCGAGACGATGATCTCCTCGATGGACGTGGGCATCGCTCGGGCGGGCAGCGGCGTCTGCGCGGCGGCCTCCAGCGCGTCGCTCAGCGAGCCGCTCTCCCGCTCTGCTCTGGACACCGCCACGGCCGCTTCCCGCGCCTTGCCAGCCGCGCCCTCGCCCTCGCACACGAAGTAGGTGCGAATCCTCACTCTCCTCCGCCGGCCGCCCGCCTCCGCGTCGCTTTCCTCGCTGGAAAGGGAGCTGGCCTTACTCTCCCTGGCCTTGCAGGCCCCTGCGGACCGGGCCATCTCCCGGCTCGCTTCGCGCCCCCGGGGCAGGTGGAGGTCCCGCCTGGAGGCCGCGGGCCGTGGGCTCTCCAGGGCCCCGCGCGCTGAGGGCCTCACCCGCGGTGTGGGCGGCGGCAGCAGGACCACAGGTTTGGCCGTGCCGACCCCCGAGGCGATGACTGGAGGCTTCTTCTGGGCGCGGTGCCGCAGGAACGGGGAGCTCCGCAAGTAAAAGTCCTGGGGCTGAAACATCGGGGTGTTCGCGGGAGCGGCCCGGCCCGAGGGACGCGCGGCGCCTCCGAGCGCCTTCTGCAGGATGGCCACAGCCGGGATCTCAGGGCCTTTAGCCGGAGAGGGCACTTTCGATGTTGGGGGTCCAGCATAGGAAACGCACCTAGGGTGAGCCGGGCTGGAGGCACGGAGGCTGTAGACTGAGCCTTCATCTACAGCCGGCTTGGAGGCCAATTTCTGTTTGAATTGGAGAAAATCCTTTTTAGTCTCCTGGCGAACCTTCTCAAGCTCTTTAAACATGTGTGATTCTTCTTTGTTTTTCAGGCCAAAGTGCTTTGGGATTGTGGACATCTTGACGATTTTGACCTGCAAAATAACCACCCCCAAAATTATATTCTATGTATGTATGTATGTGTGTGTGTATATATATATATAACAAAACTGTTGATAAAGTTCCAGTTCAGCAAAGTTTCTTATGATAGAACCTCATGGTGCTGCTCCCTGAAGCACAAGTGGGTAAACTAAGTATACAGTTTTATATTCATCTATTGGCCTTGTCACAAGAACCATGAAACATCTCTAAAGCAGTAACTTTTTTCGGAGGGAGTTTCCCAAAACCCTACTGGATTTATTTTAACATTTCTTTAGACTATGATGCAGTGTCCCATTTCCAGGCAAGAGACGACACTAAGTATAGGCATAGAAAATCCAAAGCAGCCCTACAAAGAGAAAACAGAGGGCACCAACTGTGGCCTGTGACCTGGATCCAGCCCACGAACACGCTCTTCAATTGTTCAGAGTATTAATTCATAGCCAACATTTTAAGTTGGAAGATTTTCACATAAAAATTCAGGTTTGCAGTTTCTCTGGAAAAAAGAGAAGTAACAGCTCTGGCAATGCAAGGGCCAAATCCCTGCCTCTTGTGTCTGGATAGCTGTTTCCCCTTCCTTCACCAGCTGGTCCCATGTGTCTCCTTCCCTCACTCAGCCCACTCCTTAATGTGTCACCTGAGCTACAGCAGAGTGTCGGAAGGGAAGGAGGTGGTCAGCCTCAAGGTAGGCTACAGCCAAAATCATGAGACTTGAATGCCAGGTGTCTGTACTTTTTCTGTGAACTACTGGAAACCACTCAAAATTTTTAGCAGAAAAGTGACTCGATAGCATCTGTTGCATGGGAAATATTAATATCAAGTAGAAGACGGAATGAAGGCAGGAAGGGCAAATACGAGTCTTGGTAGCTGGAACCCGAGACTTGGCCCTGGCAATGGAGCAGAGTGAAAATGGAGACATAACAAGGTAAAGCTGGTAAGACCAGGCCGATGATTAGGAATAAGTGGGAGCAATTAAAGCTCCTTCATAAAATAGGGATTTTCAATCACCTTAATGAAATCTTGGTCATAACCAAGTGCATAATATAACTGTTATTCACTGAACTGTACACTTCAAAATGGTTGAGGTAAATTTTATGTTATGTGCATTTTACCACAATTTTTAAAAAAACAACTTCTGTTATTCAGCAGGGCCAACTATCTATGATCGTGAATGGATTTTGAGATCTTGAAAACTCTGAGATCATTACTAAAAGCCGGGCTAACGGGAAATATAAATAGAAAACGGGCCAATTACAGATTCTGTGTCGCACTTGCCTCTGGCAAGTGGGAGGAGCAAGAGCAACCAGGGTTAGAAAAATGAAGAGAACAGAGTTCCATAGAAGGCAAGAAGAGGTGTGTTTCAAGAAATAGGCTTAAAGCAATGAAAATTAAAACAAAAAATAATGAATTAGAAGAATAGTAAATTTTTAAAGCCCAAAGCCAAGATTCTTTTTAAAAAAATAATATAGCAGAAACACCTCTGGAATATCGTCATTATTTCCAGTATGATTATCTACTAGAAAACCCAGGCACTAAGGAACCATTTAGAACTATGATAGGATTCTGCAAGTGATTTGAATTTTTTTTTGTTTGTTTGGTTGGTTTTGCTTTGTTTGGAGACTGGGTCTTGCTCTGTTGCCCGGGATAGAGTGCCATGGTGTCATCATAGCTCACTGCAACCTCACACTCCTGGGTTCAAGCGATCCTCCTGTCTCAGCCTCTCAAGTAGCTAGGACTACAGACATGTGCCACTGCGCCTGGATAATTTTTTCTATTTTTTGTAGAGAGAACATCTTGCTCTTGCTCAGGCTGGTCTCAAACTCCTGACCTCAAATGATCGTCCCACCTCAGCCCCCAAAGTACTAGGATTACAGGTGTGAGCCACCACACCAAGTAGGGTTTGAATTTTTTTCTTACTTATACAAAAACCAGTAGTTTCCTTTATACCAAAATGGCCCAGTCAGAAATATAATGGTAAAATTTCATTTATAATTTTTTAAAAGAGTAAGTCTCACATAAACATAACAAGAAATGTACTAAAACTATATGAATAAATTTTTGAAATTTTACCGAAGGACATTAAATAAAGATTCAACTAAATAGACAGTTAATGTTCCTTGATGGGATGACTAGATATTTTAATTATACTAGGTCCTCCCAAAATACTGTGTTGGTTTAATGCCAATACAAAAATTTAAAAATGATATTTTGAACATTTGAAAAGTTATTCTGAACTCATTTGAAATAATAAACAGACTAGACTAACCAAAAATTTTATAAAATGAAACGAGGGAGCACTCGTTCATTAATGAGAGAACAACCAGGTAAATAAAACTTATACAGATACAAGAAGTGGGGCTGACTTACTGCTGCTAGAATCAATAGATAGACTGAGAAAGTGAGAAAAAGAATTAAAAATAATATAAGTTATAAAGGCAGTAGTAAATGGTGATAAAACGAAGAACTATTCAATAAATTATGCTGAGGCAACTGGTTGACTATTTGGTACTTTGTGTGTATGTGTGTGTGTGTGTGTGTGTGTGTGTGTGTGTGTGTATTTTACATCATGCACCAAAATAAATCCAGATGGATTTAAAATTTAAGTGTGGAGACTATTCTTACTTTGCTTTGCATTTCTTTGCTCACTTATCCACATTCCTTGGTTGGACTCATATCAATTCATAAAAGAATTATTTTTATAGTTAGAATTCTTGATTTATCATGTAGTTTGGGTGGTAATGAAGAGAACATCCTATTTATCCTCCAAATTGTCATACCAATTTTAATTTCTAAAATATGAACCACTGGTTCTCAAACTGAAGATCCTGCTACATGCTAAAGCTGTCATCTGGGAATCAATAGGCTTTCTTTCTTTCTTTACCCAGCTCCACCACTGACTAGACCTTGGATGATTCAATTCTATCCACACCAAGGGTTCATATAAAAAAGTGAAAATAATAATCTGTTGTCTGTTTTCTAAATCATAGTACATGAGCATTAGAAAGGCTTTCTAAAGCCCTTAAGAAATTTTCCTTATTTTAAAAAATGCTGTGTAATCCTCTTCATCATAGTATTTTGGTTGTTATTGTTTGCACAGGTGGCAATATGTTCACACCAACACCACCTGCATTTCTTCCTGCAAAAGGTTAAAAGGTAGTAACTGGAACAGACCACAGAGCAGAAGTACATTAACACCTGATGCGAATTGGACTTGACTCTCCCAAATCCACTTCCCTTTTATTTCTTAGTTCCTGCTTTGGATGCCCTTCCCAACTTCTCCCAGGCCCTTGGTTTGCTATTGAAGTTTAACAAATGTGCATTGTTTAACACTTCTCAGTACATTCCCATGAGTTCTTAATAGGAAAGTTTCTCTTTTTATCTGAAAGTAAACCAACATGAAATTGAACTTCTAAATTTGACAGAAACTTCTATTGTGCATTCAAGGTGGATGGTATCCCAATGCTTCATGGGTCAGTCCATCAAAACTTAGTGCCTTTATTCCCCCACCCACCCTTCTACAATACAAAAAAGTAAAATAACTTTTAAACATCCAATCTTATGAGAAAAATAGCATTTTCTCTTTTTCTTAGGAGCAATCTACTAAGAAAGACTAGATCTATTTTGGAGATATGCAAGGAAAAATAGTGCAGTTGTCTCAAAAGGAGAAAGTATTAACCTGTGTGAGGTGTCAAATCTGTGGCACACAATCCAGATTGGTTAAGTTTACCTTACACTTTAAAATCGGATAGAATACACTTAAAATCTTTGTGACCCAAGCAGTAATTTTACTCTCCTCTTTTTTCCAAATTACTGGAACTGTGCCCTATACCTTTTTCTTTCTCTTCTACCAAGAGGTTTAAGGCCTGAGCAGTGAGGTAGTCAGAAGGGCCAAAAGCCAGCCTTTTCTCCTCTCTCACAAGGCCAGGTCAGACATCAGGAAAAAGACAGAGAGAAACAACACTTTATTTACAGGGAAACAACAATACAAATGGACTTCTCATAAGACACCACTGAGAACAGATGACAGGGAAACAAGATTTATAACATGCTAAAATATATATTTAAAAAAAAACTGTCAACCCAGAATTCTATACCTAGTATGCATATTCTTTTTTAAAATGTAAGCAAAATGGAGACATATTAAAGTAAAAGAAAATTAAGAGAATTACTCACCAGCCACCTGGAACTACAACAAATGCTAAAGAAAGTTTTTCAGGCTGAAGAGAAATTATACCAGAGGGAAATTTGAATCTTCAAGAACAAATGAAGAAGATCAGAAATGGCAAATATCTGGATGAGTACAATAGGCCATTTTTTTGTCTTAAGTTTTTTAAAAATTGTATGAAAAATTATAACATGTCTTGTGAGATGTTTGTATAAGGAGATGTGATGTAAATGACAACAACAACCAAAAAGACCAGGATAGGGGTGGGTAAAGGAACTATATGATTGTACAGTTTCTGCATTTTATGTGAACTAGTTCAATATTAACTCTAAGTAGACTGTGAAATGTTAAGGATATATATTGTAATTCCAAGAGAAACAATTTTTAAAGTAATACAAAGAAGTATAACTAAAAAGTCAATAGATAATAAAATGAAAAACAAAAGATGTTGTTAAATTTTAGAAAATATTTTAGACTGAATAATAATGAAGATACAACCTATCAGAATGTGTGGGGTGCAGCTAAAGCACTGATCAGAGGTATGGGGTGTAGCTAAAGCACTGATTTATAGTTTAAATGCTTACCTCAAAAAGAAGTCAAAAATCAATAACCTAAGCTTCTACCTTAAGAATCTATTAAAAGAAGACCAAGTATACCCAAAGTAAATAGAAAGAAGGAAATAATAAGTAACTCAATCAAATAGAAAACAGATAAGTAATTGAGAAAATTAACAAAGGCAAGAGCTGGTTGTTTAAAAATATCAGCAAAATTTTAAAATATCCCTAGCTAGATTGTTTAAAAATAATAAAGAACAAAAATCACCATAGCAGGAATGAAAGAGGGGTTTTCACTATAGATCCTGAAGATATTAAAGGATAATAAAAGAATATGATAAACAACTCTATGCCAATAAATTTAACAATTTAGATGAAATGGGCAAATCTGAAAATTACACTGTACCAAAATTAACAAAAGAAGCAGAAAATCTGAATAACCCTATATTTTTAAAAAATGTGTTATCAAAAATCTTACCACAAGATTCAGATGGTTTTCTCAAATATTCAAGAAAAAATAAAATAAATCTTTTTCAGAAAATAGAGAGGAAGGAACAATTGTTCTATAAGATCTGTATAACCCTAATACCAAATCTGACAAAGGCATTTTTTTAAAAAAAAGAAAGAAAATTACATGCCAATATCCCTCATAAGGATAGATGCAAAAGTCTTTAACAAAATATTAACAAAACCAATCCAAGACTATATTTTTAAAAAGGATAATACTTTCTGACCAAATAGAGTTTATCCCAGGGTTGAAAAATTGATTTAACTATTTTGACTTAATTAAATTGACTTGAAAGTCAATATAATTCACATTACTAACAGAGTGTAGGAGAAAAATATGTGACTATTTTAATAGGTAGCAGAAGGACATTTGACATCATTCAACAGCCATTCATTATAAAAATAAATAAATAACTCTGGGCAAGCTGAATCACAGGGAACATCCTCAATCTTACTATGAGAATCCACAAAAAAAATTACAGCTAACATTATATCTATACTTTCTTCTAAGATTGGAAACAAGGCAAAAATACCTTGCTTGTACTATATTGATTCAACATTATACTATCATACTGCCATAGCAATCTAGCAAGAAAAAGAAATAAAAGGAATAAAGATAGAAAAGGAAAAGGTAAAAGTATCCATATTTCTAGATGACATGATTTTTAGGTTAAAAATCCTAAGGAATCCACAAAACAACTACTAATGAGTAAATGTATCAAGGTTGCACAATATAAGGTTAACGTAAAAATCAATTTTTATACTAGTAGTAAATAATTGGAAAATATTTTAATTCCACTTACACCAATGCCCCTTTCCAAAACATAAAATGCTTAGAAATTAATCTCACAAAAGACGTCCAAAATTTCTACGGTGAAAATTACAAAACATTTTTTACAGAAATTAAACACATACATAAATGGAGACATGCGATGTCCATAGATTGGAAGATTCAATATTGTTAAAAATCACAATTCTCCCCAAATAGATCTATAGATTCAATGCAATCCCAATCAAAATTCCAGCAGTCTTTTTTATAGAAATTACAAACTGATTCTAAAGTGTATATAGAAATTCAAATGACTTAAAATCACCAAAGTGATTTTTAAAAAACAAAAACAAAGCTGAAGGACTTAAACCATCCAATTTCAAAACTTACTGCAGTAAGCTACAGTAATCAAGGCAAATCATCATGATGAGCAAAGGAAGCCAGACACAAAAGAGCATATACAGTGTGTTTCCTTTTAAAGAAAATTCTAGAAAAATGCAACCTATTCCATAGCATCACAAAGCAGATCAGTGGTTGGTTGGGGGTGGGGGTGAGAGCAGGAGTGGAAAGCACAGGGACAAGGAACAAACAGGTTCAGTGCAGTAATCGTTTCAAAAGTGTATATGTCTATCAAAACTCATCAAATTGCATACTTGTATACTGTGCATTGTACAAACTGAACATTTGTACAGTATATTGAATATAAATTGTAATTCTATGAAGTTGTAAATAGTAGAAAAGCAACTTATTAAACTTTTAGATTTGCATATTTAAAAAATAAACTGTTGATCTCCTTTAAGCTCCTGCAAGGGTAATCTGCAATAGTTTCCTTGTGGGTCTGTGGCCTTCAATGCCAAACAATCCTTGCATTAAGCACACAGTGTCCCCCTGCCCACCAAATAGAGCCAAACTCAGGAAACAGCTCTCTATTTTGAAATTAGACACACTGACCCTAGTGGGAGCGATCACCTAAAGGTGGTTAAAGTTTGCCCGAAACAAGCTGCCCTGTCTTTGGATGGCAGAGGTCAGGGAGATGGAAGTTAAATTCCTCCACTGTTATCTTTCACCCTCCGCGCAGCCCCTCCGATTCCACCCCCTCTTTTGCCTTCCTAACCCTTTTTCTCCTTTCCCCAAAGGCTGGTCCCTCGCAATCTGTCTACCTCTCCCTTCCCGCAAGTTTTCACTCCTCATGCTCCTCTTCAACCCTCATTTTCCCACAGAAGGCAGCCCTAAACTCCATCCCCAATCCCCACCACGGCCCAATCCCCTACTCGGACCCCAATCCTCAACACCTATTTGCGGTACTGATTTTTGCCTAGCGAACCTGCCAGAGCGGGTCAGAGAGGCGGAACAGGGGGGACAATTGCTCCGCCCAAATATCTCAGTCTTCCCTTCCCACAGCTTCCAGACGAAGTCACTCCCGCCCCAGTCCGCGTGCCTCTCTCACCCTGCTCCGGGGGCGCCTGTGTTCCCATGCAGGTGGCGGGGAGATCCGGCCCGCCGCCGCCGGCGGGTATCCAACCGGCCTTTCGGGTACCGAGGGGCCGGGTGGGCTTGACTGGCTCTGCGGGAAGAAAGGACGCGCTCCGTCGCCCAGCAACAAGCCGCGCGCCCCCCTCCGCCCCGCCCCCGCCCCCGGCCCTAGCGGATCCCGCGCGCCGTGGACGCCCACCTCAGGCCTCGGTGTTGGACCCCAAACCCAGTTCTCACTTCTCCCAGCGGTGAAGCCGCTACCCCCAAAGAGCTGCCTGGATTGGTCGCTTTTGCCCAGCTTAACCAACTGCTTACTTAGCACTCATGCGCTCTCTCTACGTTTAGATGAATAATGCTGGGCCACGAAAATTTAGAAAAAAATTGGGGGTAACGGGTTGTATGTTTTTAAACATACATGCCAGCGTAGGGTACATTTCAGGGGGTATGTTTCCATGCTGTCCACTTAGGTGAGCACAACTTGTAAAGAGCGTAGTGAAATCAAGGGCATGAGATTCAGACTTCTGGAACGTTTATATCAAAATCTCAGATTTAGCCATTTTTGAACTTCAGATGTGGTCCAAGATAAGAAGCAATAATTGGTATAATCTATTAAAGTTGGATATACACATACTCTATGATCCAGCAACCACACTCCCAACAGAAATGCATGCATATGTGCACCAACAAACGTGTATATTCATAGCAGTTTCATTCATGATAGCTAAAACTTGAAAACAACCCAAATGTCTAACAAAAGTAAAATTCACAAATTAATTGTAATATATTCATAAAATGTGATTCTATACATCAAGGAAACGAACAAACTTCAGCTTTGGGGGAACAACATAGATGAATCTCTAGTAAATGTAATGTTGAGCGAAGAAGCCAAACACAGAGGGATACATGGTGTATGTTTCCATCACATAAAGTTCAAAAACTATAGTGCTTATGGATGTATGCTCAGCTGATATATTACAAATAAACACAAGAAGGTGATAATCATAAAGGTCCAGATAGCAGTTATCTTGAAAGAGGGGAAGGTGATTGTGAGGGGACAGGTAACACCAGGGAGAGTCATAGGGTGCTAGTGATATCCTATTTTTTAACCTTAGTGATGGTTTCTTGGATTTTCTCTTTGTGATAAAGAGGAAATTCTGTTTTGCTAATTTTCCCAAGTAATATTTCACCATTTTTTAAAAGGGCAAAAAGAAAAAGAAAAACCAATTAGATGAAATAGTGTAGCTTTGCTCAGTACCTGGCACTTAGCAGGCCCTCACATATTACTTTATATCCCTCTACTCTCTACCAACCCCTCCAAATACCCAGGCAACTAAAACATGAGGTCAGGAAAATGCAGCTAAAACCTTCTGGAGGTCATCCATAAGATTCTACTTGCTGGAAGGAGGCAACATGTTTCCCAGAAGTTCAAGATAAAAGAATGCTCTGTGCTATACAATTCCCTAGTGCGAGCCTCTGAACAGCCCGGCTGTGGAGACTGATGCACTCAGGCATCCTCAGGCCTTCAAAAGGGAAACTCCCCCTCTAGAGACAGACAAAGCCAGGCTGGGACACCCAGGTTTGTCACTTGGACAAGCTGCTTCCCCTCTCAGGGTTTCTGCATCCTCATTTGTAAAATGGAGAGAATAATCTTACTGGAAAGGTTTGTTACTTTACCACCTAACATAATGTGTTCAAAATGGTTGGTGCATGCTCACAAGATGAGAAGCATTCTATAGAAAAGGACCTTCCATCCCTGAGGTTTCACCGCATTCACATCACATCCCACTGCCCTGAGAGCATTCTGTGAGGGCAGCTTTACTCTAAGTATGGGAGTAGCCTCTTCAGTCCAGGAGTCAATTGCTTTTCTTGCTAATTAAAATAATAAGCAAATAGCCAAGGTGCTTGTGAAGCAACTAATTGTTCATGGTACCATCCTGGATACTGCACAAAAATAAGATATAGGCCATGTTCCTAAACTGAAAAAAAATTGTAATTAACATAACCTTAAAATAGGTCTATCATATGGTCAGAAAACAATTTAAATGGCAAATAAATATTGTTCATTAATACTTTGCACAATCAAAAATAGTAACTAAGTATTCAGGTAGCCATTTCATAGGATAATACAATCCATGAGCTAGGTACTATTATCATCTTCATTTTACAGATAAGGCACTGATGTTCAAAGAAATGAAGGAATTCACCTGAGGTCCTCTAGCTAGTAATCTTGTGCTAGGAACTTTTGTTCTAGGTCTAGTTTTATCAAAAATAAAGAAAGGGAGGGAGAAGGATGAAGAAGGAGAAAGATAAGTTGATTATTAATCTAGAGGCATTTCAAATTTATTGTTGATATTATAATACCTTCATATGAAAATGTTAATAGTTTTGGCACCAAAGAGAGGGTACTTAGACTCAGAGGAGCAGCACAAAATTACTCAAGCAGTCATTTAAACACTATGATTTCATGCGACTTTTGTTGCACTCCAACAACCACCTACCAGTCCCCTTATCCTCTAGTTTTGAAGCCCGCTGTAGTTCACTACACTGCAAGTGAAAGCAAACCCAATATGACTTCCCAGCTTCCACACCTTCAAAGTATCACCACAGAACAAAATCCAAACACAGTTCCCCAAGAGAATTTAAGGCTCCTCACAATGAGGGCCTGCCCAAAGGCTTAAATATTTGGAAAATAAACAATTAAAGTTACATCTCCATATTATGCACCAAAATAAATTCCAACTGGATGAAAGATTTGATTTTGTATAGATAAGACTTGTAAGCATTAAACCAAAAAAGGCAAAAACTATAAATAAAAATATTGATTTTTTAAAACATCTATGCATTAAAAATAAACAAAATTATAATGCATATGAAAACCTGTTGAAAATTTTACATTTACAGCAGACATGGGATCAACATTTTGTAGATAAGAAATAAAACTCAAATTTTCCAATTGGCTTGAGAAGGCGTAAACAGGCAGTCCCCAAAAGAAGAAATATTTTGGCCAATAGAAATATAAGAATATTCAACTCCACTAATAATCTCAGAAATATAAATTAGAACATTGGTATGAAATTTTCACCAATCAAATTACAAAGTTAGTAATTGAGTTTGTTCATGGGAATGAGGGACACAGTCACACAGTCACTCATAGGTTGCTGATGGCTCCCTGTTAGATGTCAGGTAGCAAAATATCCCAAAAGGCTTAAATACTTGCATGTCTTTTGACCCAGAAATGTCATGTTTATAGACTTTTCCTACATAGAGGTATGAAAAATTTTAAATAATGATATTAAAACATTGTTTTTACTCATTAGAAGGCAGAATCTTGTCTTACATGTGATGTCTTTAGTATCTAGCACAGTGCCTGGCACATAGAATTCTCATTGATGGTCACACCTAAATAATGTCACTGATTTAACATTAGCCAAGACTGAGTTGTTGCCAGAACATGAGCCTGAAGAAAACTGAGCTCTAGATTTAACGTTATAGAGATGAGGAAGCCAAAGATGCTGAGGCCTTGGGGAACATACATGAACATTTCCTGTGAGCCCTTCAGTCACTGGACCTAGTTCAGTGTCTGGTTCTATTAACACAACTCACCACTAGCAAAAGTCTTAGTCCTTGATTTATAGTAAAGGTCACTTCACTAAAGGTCGAAAAACTTGAATATTACTGATATTCGATTTTAGCATCAATTACTTTAAAAAGCATTATCAAATGCAAGTCAGCAAATTAAAATGGTGAATATAAAGCAAATAAAGTCAGAGTTTGTTCTCCTGCTAGACCCAGAGGCAGCCTTGTCTGCAGAAACAAGCCACAGTAGAAACCCTGGAGCCTTCACAGTTGCGCCTCCCAAGATGGTGATGGGGAAGGAGTAGAGCCTTTCTATGAGTTACAGCATGAGAACGAACGACACTGGAAAGAATTGAAGACATCATACTTCACTTCCATAAGTCCTCATTCCTCTCCTCATCAGTCAGGTCCCCACAGGAAACAGATGGCATTCTCAAAAGTGGTTTCCTGGAGTCGGAGGGGTGCGGGGGGAGAATTGAAGTGGGATTAAAGGGGACTAACAAGAGATAAAGAGTCACCCAAGGTCTAGCAACACCAGGAAGGTATTACCACCTTTGATCGGAAAAGGCAAGAGGGGAAAGGAGGTATTAGCAGAGCCTGGTGAGAGCTGAAGCTGTGGAAGAGAGGCTGCCTGATGGGGCACAGAGAGAGCAAGCAAAGGACAAAGTCACAGTGATGCAAAGAAAAAGTAGGAGGAATAAATACCCCTACTGCTCTATCCTCCTGCCCTTCATTTCTATGCCATTGTCCCCCACTGGCCAAAGCCAAAGTCAAGGAAGACTGGGTAATGTGGCTCATAGAGGTCAGCCTCCTGGGGCTGAGAACAGGGCATAGGAGGGAGGCAGGGAGTCTAACAGAGAATAACCAGAAGAGTCACCTACCAAAATTTGCCTGTACTGCCATTGATCCACAGAAACTAATGTGTTGAGACAGCTTACCTTGCCTTAGGGTGCTCCCTGGCATTGATTACCTTCAGCCTTTTCCATACACCCTGCTCACCCTCACCTTCCCCACAGTGACCTAATTAACACATGCCAGGCTTCCCTCTAGATCACAAACTCTGATGGGGTTCTAACATCTAAGCTTTTGGAGTTCAGGAATGGACCCCTGGGAAGCCAACTACCACTCTCCCTGGAGTGCCTCAGAAGTCTGGCACTGGGGCTTGATCTCAGGGTTCTTAAGTCAAGATAAAAATAGCAAGCACTGAGCAGAAAGAAAAACCCTGTGAGTAAAACTACTCATTTGAGAAGAAAAGATACAAAAAACACTAATAAGTCTGGTCCAAAGCAGATGTACTTGGCTGAGAATTAAGGATTTATTTTTCTTGGTGGTAGTGGCTGGTGTTTAGCATTCCAGTTACACTTTATACCTCCAAAGGGTTTGACTTAGGTGTTCTCCAAGTATGGTAATGCACTAGAGATTTTGCTGAGTTTGAGGTCAGAACCATTCCTTTTCTAAAGGTAGGTATGTAAGACTGTTGTATGTGCTTTGTAGCCTAAACATTGAGCTTAGAGAGCCAATGCCTGGTTTATGCTTAGAAAAACTAACAGCTCTCCCAAGTAAGCTGTAAAAACAGAAGCTGCATTTAGCCAGAGATCACTGCCTGAGACTTCTGTGTACCAGGCCACTTCCCCTGCCCTCACCTCCCCCAATACCAACCCAAGGAAAATTAATAAGCTTTGAAGATGTGTTGTTTTTCTGTTTTACAGGGAAGGAATTTTTTTTTTTTTTTGAGACAGACTCTCACTCTGTTGTCCAGGCTAGAGTGCAATGGCATTATCATAGTTCACAGAAACTTCAAACTCCTGGGCTCAAGGGATCCTCTTGCCTCAGTCTGCCAAGTAGCTGGGACTACAGGCGTGTGCCACCACACCTGGCTAATTTTTCTATTTTAGGTAGAGACAGGATCTCACTCTTGCTCAAGCTGGTCTCAAACACCGGAGCTCAAGTGATCCTCCATCTCAGCCTCCCAAAGTGCTAGGATTACAGGCGTGAGCCACCATGCCTGGCCAGAAATATATATTTTTTAATCCAACTGGATTCTGATTACTGAATGAAGAAGAATTCAAAAACTTACTACAGCCTGTACACAAAACCTTCTTAGCCCATCCAAGTCCCGTCTGAAATTCGTGGGACTTTTTTTTTTTCATGAGATGCCCCTGCATCCACAGCTGCACTACGGCCTGTCCAAACTTCCTCAGTGGGAGAGGTTAATCTATTCCTGAATCTTCACTTCAGCAGATGGATCTATATCTGGAAAAATTTTATGATTTGCTCTTTTCACAAACTATATTATTTGTCTTAATTAAGCCTTAGCATCCCATTAAGCTTCCTTGCACATACAAGGTAATATTTCAAATTTTACTCTTTGAAGGATACATCAAAAGCCCAGCATGCTTGCTTAATTTCAGATGGACTTGAAAACCCAGTAAGAAACTTTTTTAGGGAATTTAAATTAAAAAATTTTCAAAGACAGCAAATATAGCTTCCTTGCTATAATAACAACTTAGGATTTACTTCTGCAAATGAGTCATAAATGGTTCCTTCTAACTGTCCAAGAGAAGGGAAGAGGAGGGAGGAGAAAGTGCCCAGGCGAAATCAAGGGCCCTGCTTTCTCATCTCAATTCTCCCCAAGTTTAGGTGCTGAGGGCAGAGTGGTCTTTCAGAAGCTCAGACTCAGCTTCCTTTTCTTCCTTTCCCCCTCAACTCCCCTCTTTTTCAGGGGTGCCTCCTGGATCCAGGCCACAACTCCTGTTTGCCTGACATCACCATAGCCAGGGTGATGGTGGGAGCCTCAGAGAGAGGCATGCTAGAGGCACCCAAAATCTGCAGGTCCAGCTAGTAAACCTAGGCACAGATTATCATCTCAGGAGCCCAGGGGAGCCACAGGCAGGCTTTTGGGGTAGGATCTTCCCCCTCTCTTGGAGGGGTGGAGGGAAGGACAATTTTTCCTGCTGTCCTGGGTGGGTTCTGCACAGCCTAGAGGTTCCTGACCTCTCATCTGCTCAATCCTCAAGCTTCCTTCCCCCAGAAGGTTCTTCACATAGGGCCTTATGCAGTCTCTGGGTCCCATTAGGATGATGCTTTTCCAACAGGCCCCACCCTTCTATAAGATGGAAAGGAAGTTCCAGGCAGGTTCCCGGTGGACACTGCGACTCAGCCGGCTGGCCACCCAGTCTCCAGGCAGGAGCTGTCTCCTTCCTCACCAACTGTAGCTGGGAAGAACCACTACATCAGGGAGGCTGACTGGTGACCACAGGCAAAACACCTGGAAGGAGAACACGGGAGGCACACCTGGATTGCAGGTATGCATCACCTGCCACTGCATGTCCCTGCCACTGCTGTATGCAACACAGCCCAGGCTCCCAGAATTCTGTGAAAGCTCTTTATTTGCATTACCATTTATTGTGTATTTACTCTGCACTCAACTGGTATGAGGTGAGTATTGACATGCCCATTTTACAGTTGAGAGAAATGAGTCTCAGAGAGGGCCAGTCTCTTGCAGTATCCAGATTGGAATCCAGGACTGATTCCAAACCCGGTGCTCTTACACAGACACCCTACTTGTCCTTGTTGATCGTATTGAACATGCCCTGTTGGAGTCTGTCTAATGAGAGACTGTCTCAGAGATTCTCAGTCTCAGATACCAGCAGCCTGGGGCCGCCAGCCCTGCAGGGGAGTGGGGGGAAATGTTTAGAGCGCTGAGCTGTTGGCTCGCTAAAGAGGCTTTGCCTGCACTTGGAAATTGGAAGGACACCTTCCTCTCTCTCCTGCTGCTGCTGTCTTTGGAGATGCTAGGAAGTGAAAAACGGGAAAGGCTTTTACCCAAGATTTACCATGAAACATAGAACATAAAAGTAGATATTTAGCAGAAAGGAGGGAAATCTTCAGGGTACCAATTCTCCAAGAGTCTTCTTTCCTGGTAGACAGGCTTGTCTACTTCGGGAGTTGAGCCCCCACCAGCACCAGCACCACAACCACAGCGGTACCCTTCCTAGGGTCACACAGGTCCTCATTCCCCTGGATAGGGCCATCAGGTCTGACTCTGGAGCGCCAGGCACCCCAGGCTGGGTTTCCACAACTGGCGACTACCAGAACCCTGACATTGGGTCCAAGCTCCTTTCTTGGAAAAGAAGGAAACTTCAACAGAAGGATCTACCTGGGTTCCCCAGCAAATTTGAGGTGGGTAGCACTGGGACCAAGCTCCTAACTCTGCTCCTCCCACCCCAATTCTAATGCCATCTTCACACATTCTCTCTTGTACTCACTTCTTCCCTCTCTCAACTCTTGGCATGGTGACCTGGTTTATTCCCATTCCAGCACCTGCAGGAGTTTTCGAAGCTCCTGCTCCATTGTAAACTGACCTTCAACCCCAGTACTGGGCTTTATTTATTGAAACCACTTCTCTTGGAGGGGGTGGAAGGAGGGTCATGAGGAGGTCAGAGGAGACCAGCGATTCACAATGGAAGGTATTTTGGTGGGAAGTGGCCAGTGGGGTGAGGAGAGTGGGCTCCACCCCACTGACAGCATCTTCGAAATCATTTGAAAGAAAATACGTCTACACCAGATCCGCGTCTCCAAGGTGGATTGGGAGTGACCCGAGTTCGGAGCCCCTCTCCCTCATCGCGGTGACTTGGGTCACAGTGTGTGCAGCCCGGTGAAGGGGACATGAAAGCACAGAGGTTGTGGCGCAGATTCCAGGTCGCATCCAAGCCACAGCTGAGCTCCACAACAGCCCAGTGAGGAGTGAGGGACATGGAGTACACCGATCGCGATCCTGTAAGATCTGAAGGATCGCGTAGCCCATGTGGCTTCCGAGTGAGAGCAACCCAGATGAGGAGGGAGAAGTGCTTCCTCTTGCAAGCACTCCCCCATGCCTGCTTTCATGGCAAATAGAACTTCAGAATGAAAAATTGACACTAGAAGTCTCCAGTTAATACCTTGCAACAACACTGCAAGTTCTGAGAAGGATTGGTGATCTTTTTAGAAAATCATTACATTACACAGGGAAGGTGTGTAGAATAAAATACTTTGCATCCTAAAGACAAAGAGCCAAGGCCTGCTCAGAGGCGAGCACCCGAGAGGATCACGTCTGTGACTCTAGGGGTGCACGCCGGCTCTGCCGTCACCCAGGGCCCCAGGCGCCCCCCAGCGCCGGGGCTGGAACGCAGCGCTCTCGAAGCCCCAGCGCGCAACCTCGGACTAACAGAGAGCTCTGCTGGTTGCAAGGCTTTTCCAGCTCAACGCGTGGGCTGGGTTTTATATGTTTGCCAGTTAAGCGTATTATTTAAACACGGACGTTTCCTTTGCAGCTCCGAGTGAAACATGTTGCTTGATGGAAAATGATGGGGTTCTTTACCTTTTACTCAATATCTGCTATTGAAGGGTGCGGCTGCTGCCTTTTCACAGCAAGAAAAAGCGAAATATTTGCCTTGGGTCACACGACCGTCCTATATGGGCAAAGCATGGGTGCTGATTCTGCCCATGTTCAGGTACCCGGAAAGGGGAGCATTTCTGATTTGATCATGTCACCCGCATCGAGGTCAGCGATCCCAGGGCTCTAAGACCCTGTCTGTTGTGCCAGAAGCATCTGTGCCATCCAGTCCTTCAATCCTCAGTCCATTGGCCCATTTATTCCACAAAACATTTGTTTTCCCAATGCACTGAGCTAAATCATGTCCCTTGGATCCTCTCACTTGGAGATTTTGGAGGTGGTGGATAGGGTTTCTAGACTAGAGAATCCTTCCCTGCCTTACTCCAGCCTGCCCAGTCTCTGGGATGGCGTAGTTAGTTGATTCATTGACTCAACTAATCTTCACAGAAAGTCTACTATGTTCCAGGCTCTGCTCTGGCAGCGGGAACCGTAGCAGTCCCTGCCCTCAGGGAGCTACTAGACCAGTGGGTGAGAGAAAAAAATAAAAAGAAACCAATGGAATTTGCTGTCCATGAGTGATAAGAACTTGGCAGAAATCTAGAGCAAGGTGTGGACCTAAGGAGAGCAGGCTCCATTGGGGAAGGTCTGCAAAGTTCTCACGAGGGACCCCAGGAAGCTGCTCTGAACTTGCCACTACAGGTAATGCCCAATGGTGGCTGCTGCATTTCTTCACTCTGCTCCACGGCTTTGGTAGGCAACCAAAACTGCAGCATTTAGAAAGTGGCCAGAGTTCCTGCAAATCTCTCTAGTATCCCAGCAAAAGCAAATGCTGCCAAGGAGGCCTCTTCAGGGTGTTTCTGTTTGGAAACAAACTCACTGCAAGGTGAGCTAAGCACTAGGTTTGCTCTGTAGCTCCATAAGACACGGAAAATCAAAAAACTTCAAACAAACGCACCACTTTTAAAACAAAACTTTTCTCTGGATGTTAGTTCTGGAATAGCTACTGAAAGTCTCAGGAGCAGTCACCCAACAATGCCCTCCAATCGAATTTTAATTTTAAATAATGAATGTTACCTCCCTCTAGTCGTGCCAGTAAATTAGTCTTTTTTATCAGTAGAAAGTTGATAAAATTACAGGGGAAATCAGGAAGCTAATACAATGAAAAACTACCGTCTAGAATGCATTTTTACAGTTTATTTTCTTTCCAAGTGTAGCACATGATTTCTATGATTGTTACTAAAACATCTGTTAAATAGAACTATGAAAATTTGAGGGTAATCAAATTTGAATAGCCAAAGTTAAACCACTAGGGACAACTGAAGGCCTGTGGGAAAGCTCTTGGGTGTTGGGGGGAGGAGGGCGGAGAGGGATTCGGGTGGATCTGAGGGTCTGTCTGGTTGGCCCTGACAGAGAAGCTAAACGCTGGTCGACCGTTCTAGAAGGATTTAGGTTTAAACTGCCAGCTTCCGGGCAAGAGATGAAATTCGTTGACTTTTCCAAGCCCCTCAGCTGCAATCACTGCTCCCCATTAGCTCCGGCTTCTGCATGTGGGGAGGAGTCAAGGTCTTGACCTATCATCGCCCAGGCTTCCGGACGCCCTACTTTTGCACACTGCAGCAGCAGGTGGACGAATGCCGGGATCCCCAAGCTCCCCACCCAGTCTGTGGCACACAGTAGGACCTCAGCCACTCTGGTCCCCGTCTCTAACTCATAACTGTGTGTGAAGCGTACATTTCCATTCGCTCCCCTAGGTCTCCAACCCTAGGGGCTTTTAAAGAGAGGGAGAAAGCCAGAGGATAATGTGAGCATCACAGAGTGGAGCCCGCTTTCCCCAGGAGGGGGACCTCGGCCCAGCACGTTCTCCAGCTGGCGCTGACCGATGCGAATAAAGCAGTCGGTAATTCGGGGGGACAAAGCCTTCAGGAGATGCGCCAAGGCCTTAGTGGCCCAAGTGCAGGCGGGGGCGCCCTATCAGCTCCCTGGGCCTAGAGGGAGGGAAGTTCCCTCCAGCGGTAACTGATGGGGCATTTCTTCCTTCCAAGGCTGTTGATTGCCCAGGAGGACAAATCTCCCTTCCCAGCCTTTCTCATTTGAATACATGAAAATGCGAGTTGATTTTGGCAACACGAAGCTCTCTCACGGCCAGAGAGACGGTTTTGTCGCCTGCGGGCGAGGCTGGGAGGGGAGCAGCTCCGGCTCTGACATCCGGCTGCCGTTGAGCCAAGTCAGCGCCCCGGGCCGCTCAGAACCCCGGCGGCGGCTTAGGGAGCAGTAGGGGAAAAGACAAACCGGCTGTTTTTGTTTGCTTGCTTCAATAAAATAAGCGAAGGTCCTGGATATGTATATGTGTTGGTTACACACACACACACACACACACACTGTCAGGGGTGGGCCAGGAAAAGTAGAGGCCGGTCGGGTGGTCCCAGGACCCCTACCTACTGGGGGTCAGATGCCTTGTGAGTTGTGAATTAAGTCCTTAATGATTTAATGATGGAAGGGAGAGAGGAAGGAAGGTATTAGGAAAGAAAATGAAAAGAAAAAGGCAGCGTAGGAACGGGACGCTGGCCGAGCCCATCCATGCTTCTCCTCTCTCAGCTCCTGCGCCTCAGTCCGGTCGGGACAGCGGGGGGCCCGCAGGCCTGGCCGCCGCGCCTCCCACGGCTGGGGGCGGGATGCTGGGGCAGGCGCTGGGGCCGTCCCCTCGCCGCGCCCAGGCCTCATCCCCAGCCCGCCGCACACCTCCAGCTGAGAAGGCCAGGCACGCGCAACTGTGAACAGTTGCTTCCAGCGAGCGTCCAGGCCTTTCTTACTCCTAAGCTGATTCAGTCGGCTTTGAATTGCGTTAAAGCTAAAATGAATCTTCGTTTCGTTGCGCACGACTCTCCCCCGCAGGAAGGAGGACTTAAGCTCCTTATCTGGGCGCAGGGTGGGGGCCTGCGGGCGAGCTCGGACCGCCCCGCACCGAGCGGGGCTGGACCCATGGCGGGCGTGACTTGACAACAGCCCCGTCGGGGAAAGAGGGTCGGCAAGAGAAGGGGCAGTCTAGACAGCCAGAGAGGGAAGCCCTCGAGAGACTCCAGCGGGCACCGCAGAGTCCCGCCGCCCCGGGCCCTGCTCTCGGCCCACGCTGCGGTCCAGCTAAACTGGAAGGACCTCGTCACCTCGAGAGGCCACCGGCCGGGCCCGAGGCACGAACTCGAAGCCTTTCCTTTCGCAGTCACACTCTGAGTCTCCCACTCCCAGCCAGGTCATGCTGGGAAGGGTAAGTTGAAGCAGCCGAGTTTGTTCAGTGGACCGCGTGCCGCCCCTTCTACAGCCGCACAGCGCGGGGAGCTGGCCCCACGGGTGTCGCAGGCGCAGCTTCCGGGAAAGGCGGAGCTGCTTCCTCCTCTCAAGGCCACCTGGAGTACTCGCTCACCTTACGGTCCCGACCGCCACGGCTTCCTCTACTTGAGAAGCCCGCCCTCCCTGTTACCTGAGCCGCCCCAGGCTGCCACAGACCAGTCCTCACACCAGGAGTCGACACGTGGCTGTCCTCATGGCTCCCCTGCCCCAGTCCATCTAGCCTCCCTGGAGCTGAAGACAGGTTTAGTTCCCCCTAAGGAGCAGCAGTCTTTGCAAAGCAGTTTTGCAATAGTGTAAGGGCCTACTTGGGAAAAGAGGTTGAAAATGAGTAAGTTACCTGGCTGCTGACAGGCCAGCAACTCCGAGAGAGCTGCATTAATTTATGTATGTCTGTGTGCACGTATGTACGTATTTTCCAAGTCAAAGACCCGACATAGCCCTGCTGATTCGCTTTTAAACCTCGAGGAAAATGACTAACTGGCATCTTGGGTGCACTAGAATCTCACTTCTAGAATTCGTTAGGTGTCTTAGAATAACGCCACTGAGATGGCGAGAGGCTCAGAGCTAACCGAACTGCCATCTCTCCTCCATCCAAGCCTAAGGCGCTATAAACCGAAATTCCTGGCTTCGGGATGCGTGCGGGGGTCAATCCAGTCTCGCCTGGCGATGCTCCCTGCAGACGCCTGCGGAAGAATTCAGCGTTCCCTCTCCACGACAGGAGGCGCTGTGCTCGCGGGAATCCCCTGGGCCCGGGAACCCCCAAGCTGGGTCAAGGATGTGAAGTTGGCAGAGTTCACTCTGCACAACCAGTCTTGGGTGTTTTGAAGAAGCCTGGAAGAAATTTCGCTTTGTCCATCAGGCTATGAACATTGAATTTTTTCTTTTTTTAAGATGAGACCTAATAGATTTGGGAAATGTGTTAAAAGAATAATATTTGATATTTTCATTGACCCCCCCCTTTAAGGTGACAGTATTTCTTCCCTAAAAAGCACTGGCTTCTTGTGCACTATAAAAGCCATAACTAAATTGTTACTATTG